TAGATTGAAGAACAAAAGGACAGCAACTTGTCTGTTCCCCTTTCCCCAATTCCCCAGCACTGTTCCCATCCCCCCAATTCCCCAATTAAAAAAAAAAATTTTTACCCCTAACTTTGTCCATTAAAAGGTCTAAAACCAATGACCAATCCAGTAAAAAGCACTCCTGATGCAGACATTATGGTCTCTAAATACCTTTTCCAAAAAAAAAAAAAAAAAGCAACCAGAGACCCTTAGAGGAAATAGCTCATTCCAGGTTCTGTGGCAAGAAATATACAAGAGGGCTGGCCGAGTGGCACGTTGGTTAAGAGTTGGCTTGGGATGCCAGCTCTGAGCAGGAGGGCCCTGGTTTGGATCCCACATGGGCCAGTGACACTTCGCCCTCTGCTGCTAAGATGGTGAACAACAGCTCCACCTGGAGCTGGGCTGCAGTGGGCTGCCATAAGCTACCCTAAGTGGCCGGCAGCCAGTATGAGTGGCTGGCAGCTGGCGTGAGCTGCCAAGAGCCGCTGCGAGAGGCTGTCCAGTGGCCAGTGACCCATCTGCCTCAGCCGGGAAGAGCGCAATGATGGTGCCAACTTGGGCCAATGAAGCAACGTCCTCCACAACTAGACTGAAGAACAAAAGGACAGCAACTTGTCTGTTCCCCTTCCCCAATTCCCCAATCAGCCAAATACAGAAAGTGGGCAATTCTGTAGAAAAAAATGACTGTTTCTTCACAAATGAATGGCATTAAAAAAAGAGAGGAACAGTTAGAGATTAAGTGAAACCTTAAGAGACATACAACTAAATGCAATTTATCTTAGTTACTTTAGTTGGATCTTAATTTGAACAAACCAACTGTAAAAGACATTTTCGAGGCAATTGGGAAAAGTTTTATATGGACTGGTTAATCAACTATAATATAATTACTGTTGGTTGGATATGTTCACGGTATTGTGATTGAATTGTTCAAAAGTCCTATTTCTTGGGGGTGACTGGTTAGCTCAGTTGGTTAGAGTGTGGTGCTGATAACACCGCAGTTGCTGGTTAGATCCTATGGGCCACTGTGAGCTCCACCCTTCCTAAAAGGTTAACTATGGCATTGTAGCATGAAAGCTGTCTGTAACCAATGACTATGGCTGTTCCCCAATAAAATTAAAGAAAAAAAAAGTCCTCTTTCTTAAAGCTATATACTAAAGTATTTACAAGTTGAATGAATTATGTCCACCATATGCTTTAAAAATAACTCAGAAAAAAGGGGGGGGGCCCAGGGGATGAAACAAAAATGGCAGAACATTAATAATTGTTGAAGTTGGGTTCATTACATGAGGCTCATTATTTAAGTATGTTTGAAATTTTCCATAATAAAAAGTTAAATAAAATATAGATCATTTGAAAAACAATCTAGTTCTTGCTGCTAACCACTTGAATTGAAGGGAAGGAAAGCCTGTCAAGTTTAGAGGGGTGAGGGAGGTGACAAGGCAGGGAAGGCTCTGAACTTGACCTGAGCCTGGCAGGAAGCTGTGAAGGAGATGGGAAAGGGTGGGAACCAAGGTATGTATAGTAGGGTCAAAATCCTGCCCCGCACATGCTAGGTGGCGTGCGTTCCTATAAATGAGAGTGGGTGCTTGTTCTGTCTCTTTGGACACACTGTAAGCCCTTTGAGAAGGAAAAGACCACCACTCCCTTGCACTCCGTACCTTTCCCATATTCTCGCTTCCCACATTCCCAAACTAACTCTCTAATCCAGGGGGTAGCACAGCCGGCACCCAATCACCCACGGACAACGGAGTGCTGGTGTATGGCTCCATCTACTGGTAGTGCTGGGAACTGATGCTGCCAAAAACAAATAAAAAATGCTCCGATGAGAAGTGGAGGATAATTTTTGAGAGACCTGGTCCTTCCCCGGCAGAAAGATAAACACAGGCCAGTTAAACATATAAGAAGCCTTTAATTTTATCACCATAAACATTATACTCTGATTGCTCATATACAGTATAAAATATTTATTCCACTAAATAAATAAGACATGACATTATTGCAAACGGCACTTAAACCTCCCCCCAGAGATCAGACCTCCTAAGCCCACGCAGGGGGTGCTCCTGAGATTTTGTGCAAGAGTCACCAAGCACAGATATGCCCTGGGGGCTGAGACAGATAAAGGTTCGAGGAGCCACACTGGGTGCTTCTGGTTCGAGAACAGCCCCAAAGAGAGGGCTGTGGAGCCCGTAGGGGGTGGGCAGCTCCTTCATCAGCCCAGCCCTTGAGGGAGCACAGAGTGGGGCAGGGCAGGCGAGGCCGAGAGGAGGAAGGCTAGGGCGGTGGCGGGGACCTGGAGCCCACCCTCCGCCTTCCCGTAGCCTTGGGTAAGAGGAACTGGGCTATCAGCTCGGGTGAGCAGAGCTTCCAAGCTCCCGGGTTAGGCAGTTTTGGGGCCAGACCAGTCACTCCAGGAGGAGGAGATTCTGGCAACACTTAGCCCCATAGCCAGCCATCTCAGGGGACCCAGTTGTTGGGGATGTCACCACCCCTCTACTTAGTTAAATAAATAAGTTAAATATTTAAAGGCCTGTGTCCCTAGGATGGTGACGCAGGGGCCAACAAGCCATGATAAAACATAGGGCTGGGGGACTCGGCGGGAAGGCAGTACTGCGGGGCCAGGCAGCATCCCTTCTCCCCTCAAGACTCGGCCCCCCAAGTAACTTTCATCCTCTCAAATCCTGTGGAGGAGAGTTTCACACTAGAAACTCCCACGCAAGAGCAACACTGGGGGAACCTACAGGATATGGGGGCTTGGAGATGGGAGACCTGGTGGCTGAGTTTACTCAGCTCCCCAAATCCATTCTTTAGGTATGTTTTGACCAGGACACTGTTAACCCTTAGCCTGGGTAACCCCCTAAAGGTCCTGCATTCCAGTGCAGGGTGCTAATCAAATGCTCCGCCCTTCTCTCCCTATAGAAGTCCAGACTGAAGCCCATTTGGAGAGCTACCAGCCCTAAAGACTGGGCAGAGGTGAGAGGGAAGCTCTGGTGCCCTGTCTGTGCAGCTATGCACCTCAACGCCACAGGGTGGCAGAAGAGAGCCTCACCACTTTGGCAGCAACAGACACTGGGAGGCCAGCCCTGTAGCCCTAAGGGGCTAACTGGAGCATGGACTAGGGGGACCTGGATCCCAGTGAGGCAGGCCCTCCCTCAGAGGGTAGGAAGTACTCTACACTGAGTATTTGGCCAAGTCACTCTTGTCAAATACTACCCGCGTAGCAAAGTAAATGGCAACCAGACCCAGGCCTGCAGCTGATACCATATAGGCAGTCACAGACTGGCTGAGTTGGACGATAGAGCCCATAAACAGTGATGGGGCCACCTGGGACAGCAGGAAGGCACTGTCCAGGATGGCGAGGTCCAGGCAGATGCCCCTGCCTGGAATAATCCTGGTGGCCTCCGGTGGCTCGCCCACGACCACACGCATGGAGAGATCGCAAGCAGAGGCCCCACAGAGTGTGGGTGGAGATGGGAGGAGGCCGCTGCCTCCAGCACCCACGTGTCCGTTGGGGAAGGGGGGGCCAGCCTTGGGCCCCGGTGAGAAGCTGGTCACCAGGCTGTCCTCACTGGTACCACCGCCAGCATCTCCTTGGTATTTGGGCAGGAACACCTAGGGAGGGGGAAAACAGAGGAAAGAAGAAGGGACAAGGACCGGTGTGTACCCAGGCATGGGATCCGCTAGCTATGAGAAGAGACCCTGGCCTTTTATCCCAGGGGCTAGAAGAAACCAGGAAATGGGCCTTAATGAAAATCAGGCAGCGGGTCAGAAAACTGAGCAGAACCTGCTTGGTCTGCATCTAGCCAGGACCCTCCTGGGCTGGGGGGTGGGGGGAGGCAGGGGTGACAAATCAAACCAGAAGTCTAAGACTCCTCTAGCCTCTCCTAGAACAGGTGGGTGGCCGACAAATGCAGTACTGCAGGCTGGGAAGAGAACAGAACCCCAGGGTAAAGAGAAAGACGAGCAGAATGAAGACAAAGGCAAGACATGTAAGAACAGAGGAGCAAAATCCAAGGCTGGAGCCCCTGATGGCCCAAACCCCTACACTGGCTCTCCTAACTCTCCCCCTTCCTGGACCCCACCACTTGGCCATTGGGAAGTCCTCATCACCCTCCTCAGAAGAAGCTCTGCTCCCCCTGGGGCTCAGGCCCTGGCTGGAGTGGCTGCCCTGCTGTGAGGTCTGTGGCCCCCGCCTTGAGGCAAGGATGGGTCCAGCAGACCTGGCCTCGAGGAACAGAGGAGCAGGAGGTATCAGCTTCCTCCTGACTCCACACCTCAGCTGTGCCAACTGTGCTAATGTGGCCCTTCGCCCTATCTATTCGCTCTCTGCCTTCGATCACTCACCTGGCCCTGCCCTGCCCCCACCTGCCTGAGCCTCCTATTTAAGGAGAAAGCTACAACTTATCAGACTGTCCCCATGCCCACTAGTGCCTAACACAGAAGAGTTCCACAGTTGGCTAGGGTAGAGCTGGGAGCCATGGCTGAACTCAAACCTGACCCCAGGGGAGCTCACGGCTCATGGAAACGGGTAAAGGCAGGCGCAGGTGGTGTGCAGTGCCACGCGTGCCATCAGCAGCTGCTGGAGTGGGCCTCTCAGGACCCTTCCTCCATGTCTGCCACCCTGGGGAAGACCAGTAAGGCTGGGGCCTGGAGAGGTCCCTAGAGAGAGACGTGCTCCTCAGGTAGAGGGGAGGACCAGCCCCCGCATGCTCCCTGGCACGAGTGTACGTGCCCAAGCCTGGCCTCCGGACAGCAGCCCCCCAAGCTCCCAGGCAGGCAGCACAGCAGAAGAGTGGAGGCTGATGAAGGTTAGCAGTGTGGTAACAGGCATGGCAGGACCAGGCTCCCCAACCAAGACCCTGGCCCCTCCCTCCACCCCTGCAGTTACTATTCGGTTAACCAGCCTCCCAGCTCCGTGTTTCTCTGCTACGCGACTCATGCCCTACAAGGGCAGAGGCATATGTCTTCCCTGCAGTCTGGAAGCTCTGAGCGCAGGCCTCCATCTCCTCCCTCGGACAACCCAACTTCTTGCCTGTCTGGACAGAGCTCTATACCCAGGGCTGTAGCTCAGGGAGGCCAGTGGAGGGGACAACGGTGACCACACAGCCGGAAGGGGGCCCCTGGAGGGCCTGGGTAGGGTGAGGCCCCCTGACTTACACAGTGCCCAGGTGAGTGGTATCAGGTGTCAGACAGAGATCTGCCGTGGGGGCGGGAGAAGGGGACGGAGGCAAAGGAGTGCGGCAGGAAAAGAAAAGAGAGAATTCGACAGAAAAGGAAGATAAACCAGGAGAGAGGGCAGTAAGGAGGCTTCCCCATCTGGAAGACCAAAGCAGGCACTGATCAGTCACAAGGCCCCTCCCAGCCTCTCCCTGAAGAAGGAGAGGTTGCCAACACCAGACCAGCTCCGCTCACCGCTCACCGTCTGCTGAAGCTAGACCCCAGAGGTCATCTGATCCAGCCCCCTGCCTCTCTACAGAACAACCCAGCCCAGACTGAGGGCTTCTGCTAGCCTGATTCTTCAGGGTTCCCAGAGAAGGATTTCACATTTCCTGCAATCTTCCACACAAGTGCTTTATAGTCCTGACACCAGGAAGTCATTCCCAGGATCTAATCTACACCCTCCTTCCGCAGCCCACTCTCTGGCCCTGGGGCTACGTGGGCTTCCTCTCTGATCAAAGAATGCCTTCTCCAACTGCTCCCCCCCCACCACCACTCCCCGCACCCCACACCTCCAGCATCCAGTGAGTACCTGCTTCTCATGGTGGTAGAGGGAAGCTAGCGTGTAGGGCAGGATCTGCAGGGCAGAGAAGGTGAACCCAGTGAGGGCTGCTGAGGCGGTCACCACGGCTACGCTGCGGGACAGGCATGTGGCACCAGCAGCCACAGGAAAAGCCACCACGCTGGCCAGATATACCGCCCGGGTGCCGAACCGCTGCACCAGCCGGTCCATGACCAGAGAGAAGAGCAGGGAGATGGCACACTGCAGGAACAGCCCCAGGCTGCCCATCCGGACCCCTGGACAGGGAGGCAGGGAAGAGGCGGTCAGACAGGGATGGGGGAGAGGCCCAATACAATCTGGGGGGGCTTAGAATTAGGGCCCAGGGGCACCTGCTGCCCAAGATATGCTGTAGACCAGCCCTGCTCCCCAGCACCCTCCTGTAGAACAACAGGAGTCTCGGTTCTTCCACTGGCCTCAGGGAATGTGGCCAAAGCTGCTGGCTAAGGGCAGAGAGAGATGTTCTGAGGGTTGACTGGGAGCCTCAGCTAGTGCCCAGCTAGCTAGGAGGGTGAGAGGGAACATAGGACAGTTCTGCCAGAGGCTCCAAGACAGAGTTCCAGGATGCCTGAGCGCAAGGTGCTGGGAGAGGATTTGGGCCGCCAGTAGGGGGAGCAGAGGGCACACTGACGTTAGGGCCAGGAAGACCTGAGACCCAGCCTTGACTCCCCCACTCCCTTTGGACCTCAAATCAGCTCAGCCTTTTCTTCCGTCAAGAGGAGCAAGGACCCTGAGCAAACTCAGGGCAGCCCCGGCTCTATTGAGACTGCAGGCCACGCTGCTGTGTGCCCTGATGAGCCGCACATGCCGCTTGGGCCCGTTTTCCTGCTGGGGGAATGGCGGTACAGAGATGCACAGCTACCAACCCAGGCACGGGCGGTGGGCACCTCCCTATGCCTGAGCCTCCCCTGAAGAGCAGCTCCCACAGCAGCTCCCCAGCCACCGAGCCTCACCTTCATCGTAGTGTCTCCGGGCCTCGGTGCCTGGCTCAGCCCTGGGCACACCCTGGTACAGCCCCTCGCCCACGAAGTCCGTGTAAAACAGCGTGAAGGTCATGAACGCCATCCAGCTACACAGCTCAGCCACAAAGAGTCGGCGCAGGGTGCGCGGCACACGGCAGCAGAGCTGGTGCAGCCGGGGAACCAGGGTGCCCAGGTTCCGGAAAGCCAGGCGGGCGCGGCATGGGCAGCAGTGGGGCGGTCTGGAGGGGATCGACAGCCCTTCTGCTGGCTCAGCTGGGCCCAGTGCTACCTCCTCAGTCACAAACAGTGTGGCTGCCACGCAAGTGAGGAAGATGAGAGTGAGCAGGCCAAAGAGGCACTCCTCCTGGGTGCCTAGGTACGGGGCCAGGGCACTGGTGTCCCAGTCAATGGCAGGCAGGAGGTAGCCCAGGCAGCCCCCGAGACTGATCATGAAGGCGTAGACAGAGAAGGCCTGGCGACAGTGGTCCGGGTCCCGGAAGAGGTCAGAGAGCAGGGCCTCCAGTGGAGTGAAGCACACCTGGCCACAGAAGTCCAGCAGCCCCACACCCAGGATCAGCAGTGCCAACTCCAGGGGCCTGGTGTCCGGGCACAGCAGGCCCGCCAGCCAGCCAGCCCTCGGGATGAGAAAGAGACTCAGCAGGACGCCCAGGGACAGTGCCCAGATGAAGGGCCTCCGACGACCATAGCGTCCACGCCAGTGGTCACTGGCTGAGCCGAGTAGTGGGACCGAGACCAGGCCCAGCACTGGACCGATGCCTGCAAGAAGGACAAGTAGTACGAGTCAGAGGCTGGAACCCTTAAAGATCAGGGGAAGGGTGGAAAAGACCATGATACTATCACAGGGAGGGCCAACCTTGTACTGGGTACTGTGCTGAGTACTTCACAGGGACTCTAATTTACTCCTCACGGTAAGGATCACTAAAGCCCCATTTGAAGATGGGGAAACCAAGGCATGGAACAACTGATAAGTGATACTTGTGTCAGGCATAGAGCTATGGAGGGTGGGAGGCAGGGCTTTAACAGGCAGTCTGACTCCGGAGCCTATAACTCTGACAGAGCCCTTTCTTCCAGGGAGTCACACGATGGGGACCACTTGCTTTCTGTGGCTTTAGCAGAATTCATCTGCAGGTGCTCAGTCTCTGACCCACGGGTTAAGAAAGAGCCCTGGCTGGGAGACCCTGGTCCTACTTATCAGTAGCTAGCTGTATAACCTGGCTAAGTCACCTAACCTCTTATAGACCCCCAGTATCTTCTCTGTGGACCCGATAACTTCAGAGGCTTGTTGCAAGCATTAAATGAGATAATTGATATAAATTATAAAGGGCTAGACAAAGGGGAAGGGCCATTTCTCCAGTGTTGCATATGAGCCAATCATTGTGCAGGGGCCAGTGGTATAGCGGGGTGACCAGGTCATGTCCCTGGACTCTTTTCTTCCTCTTGAGCCCTCCTCAGCCCGGGGTCACTCCTGTCCCCAGCCACATCAACCCAGTAGATAGCCACCTCTCCCGCTGAGCAGCTCTTTGGGCAGAGACACTGTTGCCCTACTTCCGGGCAGCATGCATCTGGAACAGGAGGGCAGGCGGATGTGGTGACTCACCCAGCACCATGGTCATGAACTTCTCCTCTACCCCCACTTCCAGCAGCAGGGGTGGCACGTAGGTGATGCCAGCAGCCAGGCACACCTCCAGGCCGAAAGTCAGCAGGTTGACCAGCAGGAGCTGGGCTGTCCGATGCCGTAGCAGGGGGCTCACCCACAGCCTCTGGACCATGGTGGGCCAGGCAGGTAGGGCTCCGGCCTAGTCACTCACTCCAGAACTGCTCCGTCCTAGCCCGTCTCCAGACGCCCAGGCCTCTCCTTGCTGCCACCGGCTGACTAGGACTCAGCCAGGGGCCCATTTCTGCCAGCCCTCTGTGCAAGTCCAGCTTCTCAGCCCATGTTAAATGCCTGTTGCCGTGGGGTGCCTGGGTGGGGACATATCACTCAGATCCTAAAAAAGACAAGGACAATCAAACACTGAGGTGTTAGTTAAGAGCTGGGAACCAGATCTCCAGGATTTGCTCTGAATTCTCTGAATCCTGTTCCCTCCTGGGCTGATGGCGTGGACCTGCCACCTAGGTGCCACCCCCATACTGCCCAATCAGGAAATGCATGTTAATATTAGCCTAAGGCTGACATAATTAATAAGGTAAATATGATTTTTAAACCTCAGCACATTCCAGAGCCAAACAGATGTCGGTTATTCTGTATCTTGGAAGATCTTTGCAATTGCCCTTGCCTGATAGTATGGAAAAAATCAAAACAAATCAAACCAAATGAATTCCCAGATCCCTGGGCCCTGTTATCAAGGTGCCCCCGGAGACCCTCTGTCAGGCCAGGTTTGTTTGCTTTGCGCTCTCCATTTCCCAGAGCTGGGCTGTTCAATTCCCCTTTGTTAAGAGCAGCACTTCCTATTCTGCACTGCCTGGCCATGAGCCATGCTGCACCATAACTCCCACCCCCAAGGACGAGGACAAGGGGGAAGGGAGGAGAGGCTGTGGTTTGTCGGGTCGGGTTTGAACCTGTCATGGACACCACTGAAAAAGCGCTCCCCTGGAAGAACCTGGGCCTGAAAACCTCTCCCTTAGTTTCTCACCGTGCTCAACACTCATAGAGAAGAAACATTCCCACGTGTGCTGCCCAACTGTCATGGGACAGTGGGGCCACAATCGGGCCAGGCTGTTCCCAGGTCCCGGCCTCACGGGCGTGAAAGCGTGAAACTGCACCAACTGCCATGATGCTGTGACGCTAGGGCTGGCAGGAAGCCCCACCAATTCCCGGCAGCCTTTCTCTGCTCCTCAAACAGCTCAATTCTCAGCAGGGAAGTCCCCACAGCCCTTCCTGCTAGGCCTGCCTCTGGGGCATAGAGATCCCACTGGGCGAGCACCCACCCTGTGCCCCACACCCCCAGGGACGCTTGCTCCAGGACTTGCTCTCTGAAAACAGCACCCACTGCAGCCTGCCCTGTTTAGAAGTGACTACAAGGGAAGATCAAGTCAGTCATGAAGAGGAGATATGGAGAGGGGGTCTTGCTGAGGAAAGGCAAGAATCCCCTAACCTGTCACCCATTCCAAAGGAGGGGTGGTGCACAGAGCTTCAGGCTCCTAGAAGCGCGTGCCTTCCCTTGTCTCAATTCTATACATGCTGTTGAAGGGCACTACTTCTGTGCAAAGTCCGCAGTGGAGGAGGGCCCAGCTCCAGTCCCCTCCCCCACCTGGACTCCGCCTCAGCCCTCATTCATTCCCTCTTCCAATCTCAGTATCTCATAATTTGGCACTTCAACCTCTTTTATCTTTTCAAGTGACACTCAGCCCCGCAGGGCCTTGCGTGTTGCAACACGTGTTATAGGTGCTCTCTGAGCTGTGCCACAGAGAAATCAGATGGCCATCAGTCCTGGGTAAGAGGTTTCCATCCCATAAATACTTTCTGGGGCTTTACTAAGGCTAAGCAACCCACAGCCTCCTCTCCACAGTTCCACTTAAGCCCAAGCTATCCACTTTGGGAAGACACACAGATTCCTATGGGGGTGGCATGGGGAGAAGTGTAAAATATTGACCCATCCCAAAAGGTGGGTAGGGACACCAGACATCAGTCTTAACTGGGCGATTATGGGTTCAGCTGAGCTGAGCCCCTCCCCAGTGGCACACTGCCAAAACGCCCCCAAAAGGAAAGCAGGAGATGGTACAGACACCAAGGGATGCTGCTTTCCAGCCTGGAGGGAGGGGCTCTGGGTCAAAAGTCTTCCAGTGCATTCTACTCCCTGCCTTCAGCCTGGGCAGGCCCTGGACACTCACCTGCGCAGGGATTTTAAAGACCAGGCCCTCCTTGAGCAAACACAGCCGGTCAGACCCAACCTCACCCACAATCTGCCCCCATTCCCAAGCCCCAGTTCTCTAAAATAAATCGCAACTCCAGCAACTATTAATCCCCTCACCTGCCTCCCTCCTTCCCTTACTCTGGCTCCATAGCCCACAAGGGAGACAGGCAAAAAGGGGTAAAGAGAAGAACTTCCCCTCATCTTCCTACAGCCCCAAAAGCCCATTAGCTGTCACCCCCTCCCCAGTGCCCCTCTCCGCCTCCTAGGGGCTCCTTACCAGGTAACCAGGGGCTGGGCCAGGTAAGGAATTCATTGAAAGGAGTTGGGTAGGAAGTAGGCTGGCTCCAAGCTCTGCTCTAGACTCTCCGTTCTTAGGTTGCTGAGCCCGTCCTTTCCCCTTTTGGTTTCTGCTGTGCTCTGGGGCCACTCACCACCCCCAGACTTGACTCTTTTCAGCGCAGAATTGCTTGAAGAACTCATTCCAAGCCCATAAGAATACTCTCCCTTCCAAAACCGCCTTTCTTCTCCTTACGTCTTCCCCAGCGCCTGGGTCTTCCCCTCTTCATTCATACTCCAGGGCCCCCAGGGTGGAGGAAAAGAGAGGACGCCCACATCACTCACTCCTGTCACCAGCTGTCCCTCTAGGCCTTCTTCTCTGGGGCACGAACAGAGAAGCCCAGGCCCTGCCCGGCTCCCAGCCTCTGACAGGTGAAAGGACAAGAAGTGGTTCAACATCATTTCCCCTCAGCCTTCCCCCATCCCCGCTCCTACCTGGAGCCCCGGCACACTTCTCACCAAAACTTGAAAGGGATGGGTCACTGTTGGGTCCCCTGTTTGGGGAGCTCCCCTGTCCTCCTCACGGACACAGGCAGGGCAACAGATCGAAATCCCCCTCTACTCTCCAGTCTCAGAGATGCTTCTGACTCAGACCCTCCTGCTCCTGGAGCGCTCCACCTGTCTGGCAAACAGAAGATCAACCTGAAGATCCAGCCTCCCAGCTCACCTGGCGGGGAGGGACCGGGAAGAGGAGAGAAGTGGAGGTACAGAAAGGGGGAGTCTGGCCTGACCTCCTGGAAAGGAACGGTGGCCTTCTAGGACAAGACCCTCTCAAGTTCCAGTCATCTCCCCTCCTCTCTGGGGCCCCGGATCACCGGACAGCCAGAAAGCTGGAGGAAACCAAGACCTCTGGGAACCTTCCTGGAGATCCGCCCCAAGCCAACTTTCCTCACCCCTGGGGGAGCAGAACCCCAGCCCAGAGAGCCAAGGGCCCTGGCGGGATCAGCGAACCTGTGTTCAATTTGCCCAATTCCAGAAACCAGGAGACCTACGTGCCCCGTGCTCCAAGTGGCACCCCCAGAGCAGACGGTGGGCTGCATCACATCCCACTGCAGGTTAGGCCCCAGCAGAGAGCATGGGGAAATGGAACTGCAACAGGAACAAACTTGGCCTGAACTTTCCAAAATTCAGACGACAGAGTGGAGGAGGAGGGAGGCAAGGGGACCAAGCCCATGCCGGTAGCTCCCTACCCAGGAAGGGAGGGTCAGAGGGACATATAAAGGGGCCTTTGAGGGCTTTCAAAGGGGCTCCTGCCACCCCTTACGGCTGAGGTGGAGCTGGGGGGAGCAGAGCCCCCTCCGCTGACAGACAGAGGCCAGAGGGAGCCTGGGCTGGGGCAGCCCCGCCGCGGGCCAGTGTCAGGCAGCAATTCTATGGCCTCTTTATGCGGGCCAGCGTCCCCACACTCCGCCCAGACACATCAAAGGGCTGCAGCCCCCACCCTGACCCTGCTGAGCCTGCGACCCTGCAGTCCTCCCTCCACACTCACAAAGACAGTCGCTTTCTCACAGCTCCAGGGGAAACGTGTTCCTCTACCCTTCACAGCCAGGCAGCCCCTCCCAGCAGAGGAGGAAACTGGGGATGGGGGGGGAGGCTAGCCAGAGGGGTAATGACTCAACGGTAGGAGGGGGTGTGGTCACTCCAGGCCAATTGCCCCAATACACACCCTAAAATGTGGTCTAGCCACAGGCCAGGACTGCGTGCGTGTGGGGCGCAATAGCAGGTGGAAGCTGTAAAACTGAGAGTTAGCAAAGAGCCCCATTCCTCCACACAGGACTGGATCCCAGAATCTGGTTCCAAGCAAAGCTCTCCCAGGCTCTCTAGGCTGGAGGCAGGGAGGAGGCCTGGGGGTTTACCAGCCCAGCCTCCCTGTCATCCATCCCCCTGCCTCAGTCCCACACTACCAATGTCCTTGTCCTTACCTAGTAAAATCCAGCATACTGCACTCCCAAAATGAGCTCCACCCTATGGCAGCTCCCAAGGGGCCCTAGGGCACCTCAGAAACAGGATGTGCTGGCCAGCCAGGAGGGCTGCAAATGAGCATTCTTGTAAGGCAACGAGCTCTCCATCATCACCGATCCCCTTGTCAGGAATGCTGTGCTATGGGAACTCCTACCTGGGCAGCTGGGAAGAGGGGGCACAGGATTCGACTGTGCATGGCTTTGTGCTTTCCAACCCATATTTAGTCTTTGATTTTCTGGGCTCAAATACTTCCAAATAAGCGAGGGTCAGCTTTCCCTGATCCCACCCTATAAAAAGGCAAGGATCTGCACAAATAGCTGAGGCCCACGACTTTGCAGGGCTCCCACGGACACCTGAGAACACCACTCAGAAGGCAACCTCTGCACCTCCAGGAACTGTAAGAAAGAATAAGGGCCAAGCAGAGGGAAGATCCACCCCCTCTTTTCTCCACACTTGCTCCGGGGCTCCAGCTCCCCCCCAGGGCCCAGAGGCCAGGGATTTAGAGTTCGCCTGCTGTGCTGTCTTTTCTTCGCGTAGACTGGAAGCCTTCTGCTCAGCAGCTTGTCAGAGAGAGTGAGGGGGCTGCAGGCCGGGACACAAAGGGGGATTAGGGAGAAACCTCTCGGCCTGCAGAGTAATCCATCAAACTCTCACCCGGCTGCCAGCACCGACCCCTTCCCACTCAATTCCCTTCCAGCTGCTGGGGAGGGGGGGGCACCCCCTTTGGCTCATGAGCCCTGTCACATCGGGCAGCAAAGAGAATCCCAGGCCCTGGGGGGCCTGAGGGGGCACACTGCAGACACTGGGAAAAGGGCAACAGCTCCCCCCCCCCACTCCCCCCCAATGTGTGAAAACCCAACAGGTGGCAGTGGCTCGGAGGAAAGTTGCTTTTGTTGCCCTGTCTGAGAGCCCCAGCCCAGCTTTTGAAAGGAAACAAATGCCAGAGTAGGTTGGGGAGGGGAGGCGAAAGGACAGCGGGCAGTCCCTAGAGCGCTCTGATCTCCCCCTCCCCATCCCTCTCCAATCCAGTGACAGGCCTGACCCTCACCTTGGCCAGTCAGTCCCAGCCAGAATAAGCCTAGATGCAGCACCCCTCCCAAGGGTCACCTGGCAATCCCATGGTGACAGTAAACACACTCATACATCTGACTCCAGGCAGTGAGCCTCCCCATCAGACTTCCTTTCTGAGAACAGCTCTGACCCAAGGTCACACTGGGGCACCTTGACCAAGTGCCCTCCAAGCCAAGACAACCAGTACTCTTCAACCTGGAGCTCTCTTCCAACTCAGGGGCCACAGGCCTCTGAACCTGGAGGATTCTGTAGGGTGACCTAGCTTTGGCAATCAGCCTGACCTAGGTTCGCACGCCAACTCTACCACATATTACAACGTGTGGCCTTGTTAACTGACCTCCCTGAGCCTCAGTTTCCTCATCTGTAATTAGTAATAGCAGCTAACACTGAGGTTTATTACATGCCAGGTACTCTTCCAAGTGTTTTAATTTTCCAACCTCCCAATGAGGTGGGTATAATGAATAGACCCATTTGGCAGGCAGGAAAACTGAAGTCAAAACCATCAGCTTCACAGCCACATAGTGTGTTTGAAGCAAGTATGTAGTAGTTCCTGGCAGCCTCTCCTTCAGTTGTTTGGGCTTCTTCAGTGGAGAAAACAGGGAGAGGGCTTTCTCATTCCCAAACAGGAACAGCAGAGGTCAGAGGGCGACCAGCTACCCCTTTCTTCTCTCTCCCTTTCCCCTCTCAACCTGGAGCCCCCCACCCCCACCCCCAGCGCTTTCAGCCCAGAAGCAAGAGGAATGCCAAGAATGTAAATGCCTCCCCAGGTGCTGGCCCCAACAGGTGAGCAGAGGTCACTGCAGCAGACCTGCCTGGTGTCGAGGCTGTGAAGGGACATGGAGGGTAGGATAAACATCCCAACATCATGAAACTGGGTGGTTCTCATCCACAAGGGAAATAATCACAGTGGCCGACACCTGCTAACGTTCTGGAAAGTGTCTGGCATCTGCTGGGTTTCTGACATACCTCTCTCTCTAATTCATACCATTTGTACAACCCTACAAAGTAGGTACTATTTAATATTCCTATTTCACAAGAATAAAAATTGAGAAATTCATTAACATGCCCAAGGCTACACAGATAAAAAGGGTTGAATGGAAAATTCAAACCATTTGAGCCGTCCAGTGGTAGGTGAGTGACTGCCTCACCCGGGAAGAGCGTAATGATAATACCAACTTGGGCCAGTGAAGCAACGTCCTCCACAACTAGACGGAAGAACAAAAGGACAGCAACTTGTCTGTTTCCCTTCCCCTGATTCCCCAATGCTGTTCCCCTCCCCCAATTCCCCAATAAAATCTTTAAAAAAAAAAATTCAAACCATTTGAAAATTCGGGAAAGTGCTACAACCTGGGAGCCAGGACAGTGTAATCCAGTTTCAGCAACTTTTGTAGCTGTGTAGCTTGGACAAGCCATTTCACCTCTCTGGGACTCAGTTTCCACACCTGTGAAATGAGAGCTAGTAGATGCTGTCTCAGGTTCTTTCCAACTGTACAGCTATATGATCTCACATCCACCCCACCCCACCCCACCCAGGCAGGGGGCTCTTCATGGACAGGTGCCCACTAAGCGCTCACTGACAAGACCACATGGCATGGGGGGCGGGAGTCATAGCACTCCACCCACGAGCGATAAGGGGAGCCGGGTGGAGAGCCCCTCAGCTGCACTTAGCCCATCCTTCACCTGCCTTCACACCGTTCAAGTACAACAGAGCACCAAGGGTCAGGGGTCACCTGAAACTGAGCCAAGAAACCAAGATATCTGGAGGCAGAGTGCCCTCTTCCCCACTCCCTCCCAGAGTTGGACTCTGCTCCTGGCAGAAATGAGTGACCAAATTCATTCCCTCCGTGGGCCACAATAAATGCTTCCCTAGGAGGTGGGCTTGTGGTCCCAAGAAATCCCTTGGTCCAGGGTGGGAAAGAGGAGTGTGGGGGAACAGGGAGTTGGGCACAGGCTCTAGGCCACTGGGAAGTTCCCTCCCCCTGTTCCCTTCTCTTCCTACAGCCCCTGCACAGTGAAACCTGAACTGGCCTACCTCCTAGTGAACTTGAACTTTGCCAGTCAGCCAGACCAGGCAGCTCTCCCCATCTGTGCACAGACAACCCTTGTCCCCTTCCTGCAGCCTGGCCTTTCTTATAGGTGAGCTACTGGTTTGTCGGAAAAGTCATGACGCATTTTGGCAACGAAAAAAATACATCATGACATTTCCAACAACCCAATATACAGGGAAGAAGCTAAGGGTTAAAGGGTCTGGGCAGACCCACAGATGAGCAGAGCTGGGAGTCAAACCAGGGTGCTGGTCCCAGCTCTGCCACGTCCCACCTCTAGGATCTCAAATTCGATGGTCTCTTAAGGACCTATCAGCCCTGATATCCTAGGGTCTGTGACCAGCCCCACTTATCATCAGAGGATTCTGGGCCGGACTCAGTCCTATGGAAATGTGTTCTCAAAAACAGTCATTCAGCAGTGAGCAAGGTGCAAGCAGGTTCCAAAAAAGACTCTTTTTAAAAAAAATTTTATTGTTTTAAAGAGCCCTAATCTGTCCACCCCTGGAGGAAGTATGCTTCATTGCATGAAAAGGAACCTCCCCCAAAGGAACTTCAAAGAGTATTAAAACTCACCCATCCACACATCCACCCATCCATCCATCCAACACTTACTGAGCCCCACTTATGTGGCAGCCCTCTGTGAAGGTGCTGGGAACAATGGACTGCAGCCCCCGATAGCAGAAGAGACAAAAGGCAATCAGAGTGCAATGGAGTGGTACAGGTGCAAAGACACAAGTTCCGCACGTGGGGCACATTCAGTTTTTCCAGGGCTTCCTAAACAAAGTAGCTGTGTTGCTGAGCCTTGAAAGAAGAGCAAGTGGGAACTATGCAGAAAAGGGTAGATGTCTGCAAAACACAGCCTCCGAGGCCTGGGACTTCCACACCCACCCACCTCTCCTTTGGTCCCTCCCTCGTGGGGTGTGGTGGAAAGGATACCAGACCCAAAACCATGGCACTGGGTTTTGATCTCAGATCTAGGCCTAACATGGGGATATTCATCAACAGTGGGTCTGTTTTTGCTTCCAAAGTAGTCATTGTGTTCCAGCCACCTCCCCTGGACTCCCTTACCTCTCCCTTTCCCCTGAGCCCTGTCCAGCTCAAGTCCTGCACCTCCCCCAGGGGCTACCTGGAACCCAAGTTGTCAAGGTTCCTCCTTTTCTCCCCAGTCTCACCTGCACTCACCCAGCAGCCCTCAAGGTTGGATATCGATAGCTCATGGTCCTCCTGATCTGGCTTGCAGTCCTTTCCTGCCCCGCACCCCACTAGCCCTTCAGTTCCTGGAAAGCAGAAAGCACAGTCCCTGACCAGACCCTGAGAAGGGGGCTGCTCAACAGAAGGCCTCACGGGTGAGGCTGAATCAGGATTCCTGTCTGATGTGATTTGACCAGCGTGCCTGGGATTCAAGGCAGGGCCACATTCAAGGCTTTCAGGTGCTCAGCTCACACTAGCGACCGGAGCCAGAAGTGGAAAGCTAGATTGCCACATCCCTAGGGATGGGCCAGGTGCTGCCAGTTTAGATATTATTTGTCTGCTCAAAGTACACTTGAGATTAGAAGGGGGTGGGGGGCGCACGACAGAGCACTGGGGATAGAGGGACTGCTGTCTCAGGCAGGATGCCTTCAGGGGCAGCCAATCTGGCTAGGCATTTGGTCTGGCCCGAGTTTGGTGACTGAGGGGCTGTGGGACTATGGGACCAGGGGCTGGTCTCCTTCTTGCTGGCTTATTCCAGCTTCCCAGAGAGACTGATCTCCAGAATTAACAAGGAAGGGGAAGGGAACAAACATGTATTGTGCACTTGGTCTGTGCAGGCCTTTGCTAAATATGCCTATCTCATT